CAGCACTACTGCTATCGGCTGGCCATTCTTCTTCCACCTCACAATCGTTGTTGGGTGGAATCCAAGGGCTGTTAATTCCTCCCTGATTTTGGCGTGGCTCCAAGATGCTTTTACGTGACAACAAATAGGACATTCATTTTGCATTAGTTTAATTATAGGTAAAGTATTCACATACGCTTTTGAAATAAAATTAATGGTAAGTATAAAGTTATCTGATGAATCAATTTTTAAATCAATGAAGAAATCTCTTATTTACTTAACTTAATCGTAACAGACGTAAACATTCGATTTCAGGTGGAGCGTGCGCAGTAAGAGGAGCCGCCAGTGGCATTTAGAATCTCGTCTAAAATGCGGCCCGTTTTTCCTTCCGACAATAGGATAGCAAATACCCATCGAATAGCTAGCAAAATCGGAACATGATCGGATACAAAAACGGAGACGGATCGGGCAGGTAGCGGAAAGATCTGAACTACGGCGTTGAAAGTCCAGTACCATTTTGCTCTCAGATCTTCGTCCGATTGTATGATCAGAGTCGGATCGGATAGATGTGACTCGGCCTTAAGCCGTTCATCTTTTGGTAGGACGTCTTTTGCATCGCTTTCGTCAGATTTTGCATATGAGGATATCGTCCACTGCAAGTTTTTTTATCGTACGAATTGGTCATATGTTGTTATGTATCTAACACGCACATTTATACAATGATGATGGATGATTTAATTTTGGAAAATAGTTATCTTATGAGAAGGCGATTACAGTTCAAAATAAAAAAAATATTGGGTTGCTGATAAAGTAGCAAGACGAAAAGAATTTGGAGATTTGGAATTGGAGAAGAGAGAAAGTTGCACTTATTAGTTATCCAAAATCCATTTCAGCTCGGTGTATCCTAAAAATATTCGCTATTCAGTCAGAAACACTGTAAACTTGTGAAGGGCTCGCGTGAACGCCCGCATTTGAACCAATGTAGCGCTATCAGTGGTGCTTCTTTTTGAAGTGGTTCTCGGCGGTATTCAACCACTGAACGCCACAGAAGCGCTGCTAAATCGGTTGTCGGGCCTTGGTCGCGCCCTTGTGCTCCATGTAAATCAATGTTCCTTCAAAACGTGCTTCTCAGCAGAGCCACTGAGAAGCTCTGCAGAGTGGCCCGTGTGAAACGGCTCTAATGGAACTGTTGAGGGATCAAGTTCTAATCTAACCTGATCCTGCTCGAATGGACCGAATGATGGGGGATCCAGTTCTAAACTAACCTGATCCTGCTCGT